AAAAAAAAATGTGATGGAGGGAAAGTTGTGGGTGCTCCAGCAGATCACTTGAGTGAAAGGTTGAGAACGAGCACCACTCCATCGCGAATTTCGGAGTCTCTTCGGTAGACACCCGAAAGGGTTTGATATTGTTACATGGAGGCGCGGCGAGGGGTGCATCGCCAAGGATACCTGGGATTCGCTAAGTGGCTCTGACGGGTATGAAGGTGAATGAACATCGGAGTACCAGGGTCAACGGCGGAAACATCAGGGCTATGCGGCGGAGATTAACTTCGGGACTGCTTCAACAACCATGATTTTCGGGGCTACATTTCTACGGTTGGAGACGGGTGAACGTCTGCTCTCCAGCTGTTTCAACGGTTTACGGTGTACTTCGAAGCCCTCTGGGGAAATTCTTTATCGAGATCTGCGGCGTTGATTGTGAAGAAATGAGGAATGAATGACTAAGGAGAATGTGGGTACAAGTAGGAAACCTAGAAATGTTGTACCCTATAGTGTCTACCCCACTACAGCCTAGATAGACCATAGCATATAAGTTTGACACACCCCCATAGGCAAAGTGGGGGAGAACAAGTGGTCACAAGACCAGTCAAGCAAAGCAAAGCAAGCTCAGGGTGGATCACAACGTCACCACACATTCCTAGCACAAGATCAAGGCCGCAAGGCCAGTTCACATGCAAGATCATATATAAAGGTAAACAAGCAAGTGCAGGTATAGAAAGATCACAGTACAAGCAAGGTCAAGAAGTGAGCAAGTGAGGCCAAGTAGGCACAAGACCTAGCATCGTACAGAAGCGCTGATGATCACAAGGCGGAAGTGCCTTGGTAAAGATATCAGCAGTGTTGGCCTCAGAGGCCACGTAAGCAAGGCGCAGCTGACCATGCTGCTGCAGCTCACGAGCAAGGAAGTAGCGAAGAGCAATGTGCTTCATTCTGTGCTCCAGTCTGTGCTCCCGACACAAGGCCAGCATGGCCTTGTTGTCTACGTACAAAACTGGAGGAGAACGAGGCGGCTCTCTTAGGTCAGTCAGCAGGTAGGTGAGCCAGCGTAGCTCCTGTGCAGCCATGGCCCCCGCGTAGATCTCAGCCTCACAGCTGGAGCCGAGAACAGAAGACGAGCGGGTAGACCGCCACGAAACAGAGCCGGAACCAAGGCTGAAGGTGTAACCCTGTGACGACCGCTGCGTAGCCTGGTCGTCAGCCCAAGAAGCGTCTGCGTGACCTGTGAGGACCACTGGACGACGTCCTCCAAGCACTAGCCCCATGCCCGACGTACTGCACAAGTAGCGCAACACCCTCTTCGCTGCAGCCATGTGCTCTGGTCGGTGTCTCCCAAAAGCAACATAGCGTGCCAAGATGCTAAGAGGGTATGCAAGGTCAGGTCGTGTGCAGGTCATTAGGTACATGAGGCAGCCAACAAGCTCTGGGTACGGGCCACTTGGCTCTACGGACTCATCCGAAGGCAGAGCTGAGAGCGAGTGGCGAGTAGACAGAGGAGTGGCCTGAGGCGAGGAGTACGTGAAGTCGAAGCGCTGAAGGACCTGCTGCACCATGTGTGACTGAGTCAGGGTAATGGTGCGCTGTGCTCTGTCCCAGGTGATCTGCAAGCCAAGGTAGCTGCGCAGTTCACCCAGGTCTGTGCACGTGTGTCTCTTCTGCAGCTCGGACTTCACGTGGGCGAGTCCAGTAGTGTCGGCAGTGGCAAAGACCAAGTCGTCGACGTACACGAGGATGTAGAACGGCGGCAAAGAGGTGTCGGTGCACAGAAACATCGACGGGTCGGCAGTAGAAGGAGCAAACCCAAGAGCCGCAAGTGTATTCCTCAGTGTGTCGTGCCACTCACGGGGCGCCTGGCGGAGACCGTAGACTGGCCGCCGGAGGCTCCACTGGGTACCAGGAGGAAATGACCCAGTGAAGCCAGGCGGGCGGCGCAGCCAGATCTCCTCGTGCAGGCTGCCCTGCAGGAAAGCTGTGCTGAAGTCAAGAGAGTGAAGCTCGTAGTCACGCTGAGCGGCAACGTGCAGCAGCACCCGAAGAGTGGTCATCTTCTGGGTGAGAGAGAAGGTCTGAAAGTAGTCAACTCCCTGCCGCTGACTGAAGCCTCGGGCCACGTAACGCGCCTTGAAGACAGGCGGAGAACCCGACGGCCGCTTCACCCTGAAAATCCACATGCCACTGACGATGTTCGCCCCAGGTGGGGGAACCTCGTCGACGTAGGTGCGTGTGGACTTCCAGGAAGCCATCTCTGCGTCCATGGCTGACTGCCACTGAGAGGAGTAGGGACCCTCGATCGCCTCAGCGTACGATCGAGGAGTCGGGATGTCTGGTGCATCCGGGTCTCCCTCAGGGGCAATCAGCGTGGACACGAGATGAGGCAAAGCAGCAGCAAAACACTGGAACTCTCTTCCCCTACCGCACTGCGCCCCTCCCCCCGCCGCCGCTCTTCTTTGCGCCAGGTCCTCCCCCGGTAGACCCCCTCCCCCCTTAGGGTCCTGCCCCGTCAGGTGTGTCCCAGGTAGACGCAGTCGAGCCTGTCAAGGTAGCTGTTGACTCTGGTACTGCTAGAGGTGCTGAGCCTGCGGGTGCCGGGTCTGGAGGTGCTGAGCCTGAGGGTGCGGAGCCTGGGGGTGCTGAGTCCAGGGGTGCGGAGCCTGGGGGTGCTGAGCCTGGGGGTACTGAGTTTGGGGGTGCTGAGCCTGGGGGTGCTGAGCCTGGGGGTGCGGAGCCTGGGGGTGCTGGGTCTGCTCGTGTGGCCTCTCGTGGTGCTTCGACGAGGTGGGAGCTACTCTCTCCGCAGGAGCTGCGCGAGTGGTTTGCCCGGCGCTGGAGCCGTGCTGCTGGAGCTGGAGGTACTACTGTTGCTGCTGGTCCCGGAGGTGCTCGTACTGGCAGTACTGGAGCTGCGAGGACTGGGGGTGCTGCTGGGGCTGCTGGAGTTGGTTCTGCTGGAGGTACTGCTGGAGCTGCTGGCGGTACTAGAGCTGCCGGTCCTGCTGGAGTTGGAGCTGCTGGAGCTGGAGCTGCTGGGGGTGTTGGCGCTGGTGGTTCTGCTGGCGCTGGTACGTCTGAGGGTGCTGGAGTTGGCGCAGTTGGAGCTGGAGGTGCTGCTGGCGCTGGTGCTGCCGCTGGGGGTACTGGTGCTGTCCCTGCTGGTTCTGGAGGCGCTGCGCGGCCGAGGCCGTACTTCGTTCCGCTCCTTGAGCAGGTTCTTGGTCTCCCGCCCTCTACTGGTCCTGCTCCTCCCTTAGACTGTCCACAGCCTGTCCAGTCGCAGTCACTGTTACAGCCCGCCTCCCCCCTGCCTGCTCCTTCTCCCTACACTGGTCCTACTGGAGGTCTTGCTGAGCGTCGTGAGCCTGCGTCTCGTCCTGCGTCGCCTGTTCGTGCTGCTCGCACTAGTCGTCGTGCTCCGGGTCCGCGTCCTCCTGCGGTCCCAGGCACACACCAGATTGCACTGCGTCCTTCCACTGCTCCTCTGCGTGTCCCGTTGCCGTCTCCTCCAGAGTCCTCTCTTCCTGTTCTTGCTGACCCGGAGTCTGACTCTCTTCATGCTGCCAGTCCTACTGTCACGCGTCTCCTGGCTACTGTTGTCACTGACCCTTCCTTTGAGTCCACTGCTGCGTCGGCCCTAGTTGCTTAGCTTGTCGACTTTGCTGCTCGCTGTCGTCTAGACTACGCCACTAGTCTCGTTGCTGAGTCTGAGTCTGTCTGTCCTCCGTCCGTCGGGGGTGAGTGTGCTCTTAGCACGGACATCCTTGAGGACAGGCAGGAATTCTGTATTCGACATCCTTTTTATAAAGTCTTCCGCGCACTCCTCTTAGTACAACTCATAACAAACAGGCAGAACTGTAACACCCTCTTACTTAGCGGGAACCTCGCGCAGTGGTGGTTAGGAACAAGCTGGGCATTTGTTTACCGCGAAGGCGACGCGAGGTTGCCTCGGATTCGGTCCGAGCCTGCGTTCTGAAATATTGGTTTGATACACGTTGGGGTAGAAGCTCGGTTGAGAAACAAATTCCTCACATCCACTGACAGGGTTACAGCTTGTGAAAAAATGAGGAGCGTGAAGAAAGGAGGGGTTTCACTAGCAGTAGTTGGGATACATATAGCAAACCCTAACAGGGTTGTACTCGCTATAGAGCACCCCACTACAGGCTAGATAATAACATTCTGACACAGCTTTCCCGCGCAGCTGCACGCCGTCTTTGCAACGGCCTCTGGAGACTGCGTTTGCGAAGAGCCTTGAGTTTCGCAAGAAAAACGAAAGTAATGGCGAGAATTGTTTCTCAATGTTTGGTGGCGTAACCGTGACGGACAGAATTCTCGCCACTGCCGCGACTTTCGCGAGGCCAGCGTGCCTAGGTGGGGCGACATTCGCGCGAGTCGCGCCGCGCCGAACCCTCTGTGCCTCCAGGAAGCCTGCTTGCCTCCAGTACGTATTTCAGGCACCTCAATTTTAGGACGCGGCACCTCAAGCAATTTTGCACGATTGATCGCAGGATCGCTGATTCAACCGTACTGAAACCCTGCTAAAAGTGTTTAAATCTTTTGAAACCATTTTAAACTCCTAAAACATTCCATCCTGCTCAGGATCGATCGCAGGATCGGTGCTAGAGGTGCCGCGTCCTTCTTCTCATGCACTACAAGTTCATTTCAGCTAGTCTACAGCTCTACTTTCTCTGAAGCTGCTCTCCTGCCTCACACTGATCCAGAGACATTCAAAGCCTCCTCTCGTGCTCTCGAGTAGTGTTGATTCGAAACGCTTACAGCTCCCGTTCTGAAAACAGTGCGAGCTTAGCCTATCGCGGATTCGCGGACGAGCACTCGCTCGTCTTGGACAGCTGGATGGCCGAGCCACCAGTTCACACCGGTTTCTCGTGCGATTCGCTGGAAAAATTGACCAGCGAAGGCCAATGCGATGGCTCCGACCCGAGCAAGCTAGAAGGTAACAGTCGAGTACTTGACGACCCGAGCTATAGTTACGGCCCCACGCGAGTAACATGACCCTAGGACTTCGACCGCCTTTCGACTACTCTTTTCCCGCCTTCATGAGACCCCCTGTCATGCCAAGTAGGCGCGAGAGCGAGTTAGGGTTAGCACGCGGGTGCCAACCGTTTCCCGCGCGCGTGTCGTGCTGGCAGGTCTCGTCACGGCGTCGTGGTACGCGCCGTCCGAGACGTCCTCCGCGCCAACCCAGGCCACGCCGCTCCGCGTTGCCCTCGTCGCCTTGTCCGACGCCTCCCATTCGTCCGTCGCTTCGACGCTCTCCGCCTCCGGCGGCGACAATGCTGCTGCCGTCGCGAAACCGTCGCCGGTCGCTGCAGTTAACGCGTCCCCCGCCGCCCGAGGCGCTGCTAGCAGAGCTATTGCTCCGCGCGCGGTGCCGCGGCCGGTAGTGATGAACGCGTACGACGGCGTGCTGGACCCCGACCTGTTCGAGACCGCCGACGAGTTGGGGCGCGGCGGGTTTGGCACGGTGGTGGCGATGCGGCGAGTGGAAAGCGGCGAGGTGGTGGCGGTGAAGCGCGTGGCGCGCAAGCAGATGGTGGCGGCGGCGAACGAGGCGATGGTGGCAGCGTCGCTGAGCGAGTGCCCGGGCGTGCTGGGCGTGCGCGAGGTGCATCTGGCCGACCACCACGCGTACCTGCTCTCCGACGTCTGCTCTGGCGGTGACCTCCGCGCCTTCCTGCAGCGCCGGCCCGCTGCCGCCGCAACCACGCCCGCGGAGAATGGCAAGGGCAGGCGGTGGTGGGGGAAGGCGAGCGGCGAGGACGGGCGGGAAGGGGGAATGGAGGAGGCGGAGGCGCTGGAAGTGGTCAAGCACGTGGGCGACGCCGTGGCGTTCTGCCACGAGCGAGGCGTGGTGCACTGCGACATCAAGCCCGACAACATCCTCTTCGCCTCGCCCCTCTCCAACATGGAACCCCCGCCTTGCCAACCCGCCGCTAGCCCCGCTGCGCCTGCGCGCCCCTCTCCTGCTGCCCGCCTCTGCGCGCCCGTCTCCTCGGCTCGCGCCTCCCCCCGGCTGGCCGCGGGGGCAGTGCGGCTGGCGGACTTTGGGTTGGCGCAGGTGGTGGCGGAGGGGCAGCGCGCGTGCCGCACTCCCGCAGGCACGCCCGGGTACATGGCGCCTGAGGTGGAGGCCCTCTGCCGCCCTCGCTGCCCGCCCGCCCCTGGCGCCGCGAAGCAGCGAAGAGGAGCCCCGGCGAGAGCAGCAGGGGGAGAGGCAGAGGCAGGCGGGTATGGGCGGGCAGCGGACGTGTGGTCGCTGGGGGTGACGCTGTTCGAGATGATCGCAGGCGAGCGGCCGTACGCGGGGGAGGCGCCTCAGCAGGGCGAGTGGCGCGCGCGCATGGAGGGGGCAGCGTGGGAGGGCATGTCGGAGGAGTGCCGCGCGCTGGTGAGCGGCATGCTGAGAGTGCGCGCGGAGGAGAGGCTCACCATGGCGCACGTGTGCCACCACCCCGCCATGATCCGCGCCTTCGGGGGCAGCGGGACGCGCAGTAGGAAGGGGTGGTGGTGAGCGTGATGCGGTCAGGAGGAGGAAGCAGGGAAGGGTGTGGTGAACAGCAGGGGGAATGCAGGTGGCTTGGCGTGGCGGTGGGGGGATACAAGAGAGAGTGGGATGGTATGGTGGAGCACCACTTTTTGCACCCTGCCTGTCAGGGAGTTTGGGATGCTGGGTGGATTCGGTGGATGGAAGGGGATGGGTGCACGTCACCTTGCTGCATTGCTTCCCTCGCTCTCGAACGAGTACAAAATGTGAGCGAAGGCATGAGCGAACATTTATACGCGAAACATGCAAACGGTAACGCGGTGCGTGCGAGCTAGCTAGTGCTATGCTGGCAGCGAGGCTCGGGCTAGTCCCGAAGCGTAGGCCGACACGGCCGTGCCAGCAGTGCGAGGTTTGGCAAAACAGTGCGCGCGAAGTTGGCGAAGTCCCGTTAGCAGTAACGGGCGAACAACGGCTGTTGCTGTACGCGATGTAGTCGGGCTCCGTAAGGAATGCCGAGAAAATTCCTTACACAACCCCCCCCCTCAAGAAGCCCCCTCAGCTACGCGAGTGCGTGTATATCGTGTCAAACATATGTTTATATGTTATAGTTTAGGTAGCCTTTAGTGGGGTACTCACTGTGGGGTACAACCCCTTAGGTTTCACTTTTGTACCAACCTACTCTAACTTGGTATTAAAACCCGAGTACAACATGGTATATTTCAAATTCAAGAATCTTGAACTTGAAGTCGCAAAAAAACAGGGTAACCCTCTTTGGTTTGAAACTGAACTCGCTACCCCGGGAAAACCTCTTGCGACCCTCACTCCTGATTGGTTTCAGTGACCAGTCGCACGACAGACCCGTCCATCGCCCACAATATTGCCTGGATCACCTCCCACATATCTTGAAGACCAAGTAGTACTTCTAGTCCACTATGACACACGTAACTAGGAAACGGGCGGCTGGGCGACAAAAGCACCCTCAAGGGTAGGCGTTTTTTTTTCGGACAACACTAGTCCCTCACGCTGTCTGTCCAATTGCTGCGTAGCACAACTGCCTGCCAAACTCGCCCGCACCGTGCCTCTTTCGAATGCCAGACACGGTACGTCCGTGCTAGTGCCCCACACGCGCAAGGCAGTGGAAAATGGCGTGCGTTGCCACACTCATTGCTTGTAGGATGTCGTGTGCGCTTTACCCACGTGAGACTCGCGGAAACGCGATTTCCGCGCTTCATCACGTCGCCCACACTTGCTATAGTCACGATAACTACCACTCGTCGCCCTCACTTCCTTTCGTCGCTCGCGCTTCCCACCGTCCAGCGCTTCTCCAGGTTGCCCGCGCGCGCTCCTCCTTGACACCCGCGCGCGCTTCTTCTTGACGCCCGCGCACGCTTCGCCTGTTTGCCCGCGCGCGATTTTCCACGTCGCCCTCGCGCGCTTCTTCTCGTCGCCCGCTCGATTTTCTCCTCGTCGCCCCCACCACTTCATTTTGCGCGCGCTTCTCCTCGTCGCCTCCGCCTCTGTATTTCGCGCAAGCGTCACCGTACCCGCCTGCATCCCCGCCTCCGTCCACCCTCCATCTCTTCCTCCCTCCCATCTATCCCTCTCCCCTCGCTTCCTATATCTCTCGCTCTCTCTTACGCTCCCATCTCCCTCGCTCTCTCTTTCTCTTCTGCCTCTTTCGATCTCTCTGCACTCCTTCCTTCCCATCTTCTCTCTCTTTCCTCGCCCTTCCCACGGACAGATGGGGAAGGACACGGGGGTGAGGTCTTAGGACCTAATTTCCTAGTGGGCCCACCGTTACCTCTCTTATTATTTAGGGTTTCCCCTGCCTGTCGAGCGCCCCACCCGTCGCGTCGCCCTGCTGGCCGCGTGACGCGCGTTTATTTTTACTTTTTTCTTCGTTTTTTCTCGTCACGCCGCCCTAGGGCCCGGCCCCGCCCGTCGCGTCGCCTTAGGGCCTTCGCGCCGCCCAGGGGAGCCAGTCGCGCTGCCCTGCTGGCAGCGCGCGACCCCGCCTGGCCCGTCGCGCACCTGTAGGGCCCGCGAGCTGCCCTTCCCTGCCCGTCGCGCCGCCCCTTTTTGGCAGCGTGCGGCTCGGCCCCGCCCTCGCGCACCCCTACGGCCCTCGTGCCGAGCTCTGCCCGTTGTTGCGGCCCCGCCCTGCCCCAACGCCGCCCCTGGAGCAGCCGCCCCTGGACCCAGAGCAGCCGCCCCTGGCCCCTGCAGCAGCCGCCCCTGGTGCAGCCGCCCCTGGACCCTCGAGCAGCCGCCCCTGGACCCAGAGCAGCCGCCCCTGGCCCCTGCAGCAGCCGCCCCTAGAGCAGCCGCCCCTGGACCGAGAGCAGCCGCCCCTGGTGCAGCCGCCCCTAGACCCTCGAGCAGCCGCCCGTGGACCCACAGCAGCCGCCCTTGGCTCCTACAGCAGCCGCCCCTGGTGCAGCCGCCCCTGGACCCTGAGCAGCCGCCCCTGGCCCCTGCAGCAGCCGCCCCTGGTGCAGCCGCCCCTGGACCCTCGAGCAGCCGCCCCTGGACCAAGAGCAGCCGCCCCTGGCCCCTGAAGCAGCCGCCCCTGGTGCAGCCGCCCCTAGACCCTCGAGCGGCCGCCCCTGGACCCAGAGCAGCCGCCCCTGGCTCCTACAGCAGCCGCCCCTGGTGCAGCCGCCCCTGGACCCTGAGCAGCCGCCCCTGGCCCCTGCACCAGCCACCCCTGGTGCAGCCGCCCCTGGACCCTTGAGCAACCGCCCCTGGACCCAGAGCAGCCGCCCCTGGACTCCGTGCAGCCGCCCCTGGACCCAGTGCAGCCGCCCGCCGAGCGCCGGCCCTGCTCGCCCGGCGAGCGCCTGCTCTTCCCGCCAGTGGTGAGCACCTGCCTTGTTAGCGCACTGCCTGCCTGCCTGCCGGCCTGCCTGCCTGCCTGCCTGCCAGCCTGCCTGCCTGCCTGTCGGCCTGCCTGCCTGCCCGCGCTGCTACCGCTACTTCTGTTATTGCTGCTAGGCTGCTGCTGCTGCTACTGCTGCGATGCAGCTCCAGCGCCGTCCGCGCGAGTCTCTCCCGCCCCAGCAGCTTCGTGAGTGGTACGGTAGTTGGGGTTGTGGCGGTAGCCGTCGTGGGTGTAGCCCTGGAGCTGGTCCGTTGGGAGCGTCTGGCAGTAGCCAGCCGCAGCTGCAGCGGCGTTCGCGAGAGACACTTACGTCCCGGCAGCTTCACGAGTGGTAAGCTCAGACTAGAGGGTCTTTGAGTACCGTTCGCTGCCCGTACGTTATTCGCAAGGGTGATCGGACTGGTCAGGTTTGCGGGACGCTTAGTCACACACAGTCCCGCTGCTTCGCTCGTCTGAGCGACGCCTGGCGTACCGAGTTTGGCGACGAGGCTGAGCTCCCCGCTTGGTTGGAGCTGCTTGGACAGAGGGTAGATATCTTTGCTCTTGACTATGATGCTATTCTCACTGCCATGTATGCATTGCCTACTAGTGCCGACCGAGCCTGTTACCTGTGCGTACCGTCTGACCCAGGTATAGAGCCTGCTGCTCTAGGTGCTGGTGAGGCTACTGCTCTAGGTGCTAGTGCGTCTCCTGCTCTAGGTGCTGGCGAGGCTGCTGCTCTAGGTACTGGTGAGTCTGCTCTCTCTGGTACTGCGCTTGCTGAGGCCTTGTACACCTTCACACTTGACTACGGTGCCTCTCGCTCCTTCTTTCGCGACAGCACCACCCTCACGCCGCTCAGTCAGCCGGTTCCAGTCTCCCTGGCAGACCCCTCTGGGGGTCCAGTCCGTGCGACCTCCTCCACTGTCCTCCCTTGTCCTACTGTCCTGTCCGGCACAGTGTCGGGTCTTTACCTCCCCTCGTTCTCTACGAACTTGGTGGCGGGTTCTGCGCTCCAGGACGCGGGTGTTCACCAGTTCACCCCTGCCTACGAGCGTGTGACACACTGCACGTGTGCTCAGACGGGTCGTCACATGGCTCCCTTCGCTCGGCAGCCGGGGTCGGGCCTGTGCACACTAACTACTGAGTCCCCTCAGGTAGCTGCGTCTGCGTCTGCGTCAGGTCAGTTGTCGCCCCCCTGCTCGTGTCGCGCCTTGTCGCACCAGACCCTCCTTTGGCACCACCGCCTTGGTCACCCCTCGGTGCAGCGCCTTCGCAGCATGCACCGCCGTGTCCTTGTCTCTGGTCTTCCCAGGGTTCTCCCTCCTCTCCCACCCTCGCCTGCTCCTCCCTGTCTTCCCAGTGTCGAGGGGTGGCAGCGCGCCGCTCCTCACTCCTCCTCGTTCCCTCTCACAGAGGCTCCCCTGCAGACTATTCACCTGGACGTGTGGGGCCCAGCCCGCGTCCGTGGACAGGGCCACGAGCGGTACTTCCTGCTGGTCGTCGACGACTACACGCGTTACACCACGGTCTTCCCCTTGCGCACCAAGGGTGAGGTCCCTGATGTTTTGATCCCTTGGATCCGCGCTGCTCGTCTCCAGCTCCGCGAGCGGTTCGGGACGGATTTCCCGTCCTGCGTCTGCACTCTGACAGAGATGGTGAGTTCTCCTCAGACCTCTTGGCAGCCTTCTATGCGGAGCATGGCATCCTCCAGACGTTCACGCTTCCGGCCTGTCCGCAGCAGAATGGGGTTGCTGAGTGCCGCATTGGCTTGGTCATGGAGGTCGCTCGTACCTCCATGGTCCGTGCGGCTGCCCCCCATTTTCTGTGGCCGTTTGCAGTCCGCTACGCCGCGCATCAGCTCAACCTCTGGCCCCGTGTCTCCTTGCCGGAGACCTCGCCCACACTGCTGTGGACGGGGAAGGTTGGCGATGCGTCGCGTTTCCGGGTCTGGGGTGCTCGTGCCTTTGTCCGCGATTCCACCGCGGACAAGCTTTCCGCCCGCGTTGTTCCCTGTGTCTTCCTTGGCTTTGTCCCTGACGCGCCTGGTTGGCAGTTTTACCACCCCACCTCGCGCCGTGTCTTCCCCTCTCAGGACGTCACGTTCGACGAGTCGGTTCCCTTCTACCATCTTTTCCCCTACCGCACTGCCCCTCTCCCCCCACCGCCGCACTTCCTTGCTCCAGGTGCTACCCAGGTAGACCCCCTCCCCGCTCCCGGTCCTGCTCCTTGAGGACAGGCACGAGGACCTTGAGTGTCTTGCAGCCGCTGCGCCTCATCTCGTGTTCATGCTGCTTGCCCCTGAGGGAGACCCGGATGCTCCAGACATCCCTACCCCGCGCTCTTACGCTGAGGCGATCGCGGGTGAGTACTCCTCTCAGTGGCAGTCAGCCATGGACGCAGAGATGGCATCCTGGAAGTCCACAGGCACCTATGTCGACGAGGTTCCCCCTCCTGGGGCGAACATCGTCAGTGGCATGTGGATTTTCAGGGTGAAGCGGCCGCCGGGTTCTCCGCCTGTCTTCAAGGCTCGTTACGTTGCTCGAGGCTTCAGTCAGCGAGAGGGAGTTGACTTCTTCCAGACCTTCTCCCCCACCCCGAAGATGACCACTCTTCGGGTGCTGCTGCACGTTGCCGCTCAGCGTGACTACGAGCTTCACTCTCTTGACTTCAGCACTGCTTTCTTACAGGGCAGTCTGCACGAGGAGATCTGGCTGCGCCGCCCGCCTGGCTTCACTGGGTCGTTCCCTGCTGGTACCCAGTGGAGCCTCCGGCGGCCGGTCTACGGTCTCCGTCAGGCGCCACGTGAATGGCAGGACACACTGAGGACGACACTTGCGGCTCTTGGATTTGCTCCTTCTACTGCTGACCCGTCGCTGTTTCTGCGCACCGACACTTCGCTGCCGCCGTTCTACATCCTCGTGTACGTCGACGACTTGGTCTTTGCCACTGCTGACACTGAGGCTCTCGCCCTGGTGAAGTCCGAGCTGCAGAAGAGACACACGTGCACAGAAATGGGTGAGCTGCGCAGTTACCTTGGCTTGCAGATCACCCGGGACAGAGCACGCCGCACCATCATACTGACTCAGTCACACATGGTGCAGCAGGTCCTTCAGCGCTTCGGCTTCACCTGGTCCTCGGCACAGGCCACTCCTCTGGCTACAGGTCACTCGCTCTCAGCTCCACCTTCAGACGAGTCCGTAGAGCCGAGTGGTTCTTACCCAGAGCTAGTTGGCTGCCTCATGTACCTGATGACCTGCACTCGTCCTAAACTAGCGTACCCTCTTGGCCTTCTGGCTCGCTACGTGGCTCCTGGTCGGCACCGAAAGGTGCACATGGATGCTGCGAAGAGGGTTTTGCGCTACTTGTGCAGTACATCAGGCATGGGGCTCGTGCTTGGAGGACGGGGCCACGTTGTCGTCACTGGTCACTCGGACGCTTCTTGGGTTGACGACCTGGCTACGCAGCGGTCGTCATAGGGTTACACCTTCAGCCTTGGCTCTGGTTCAGTTTCTTGGCGTTCTACACGCTCGTCTTCAGTTCTCAGCTCCAGTTGTTAGGCTGAGATCTACGCCACAGCCATGGCTGCACAGGAGCTACGCTGGCTCACCTACCTGCTGACCGACCTGGGAGAGCGGCCTCTTTTCCTCCAGTGCTGTACGTCAACAACAAGGCCACCATTGCCTTGTGTCAGGAGCACAGACTGGAGCACAGAAAGAAGCACATCGCTCTGCGTTACTTCCTGGCTCGAGAGTTGCAGCAGCGTGGTCAGCTTCGTCTTGCTCACGTGGCCACTCGGGCCAACACTGCTGATATATTCACCAAGGCGCTTCCGCCAGGTGATCATCAGCGTTTCTGCACTTTGTTAGGCCTTGTGCCCACGCTTCCTCACTTGCTGTAGGCTTTGTTTG